TGTGGGGTGGCCGTGAATGGTGGGCGTGGTTATGGCTGCGGGTGGGGCCACAAAGGGTGCTGCATGCTGCAGGGACCATGAGCACTGGGGCATGGCTTCATGTGCAGGGCCAGGGTACTGGGGGCACTAGTGGGACTGCAGGGTGCAGGGTTAAGTGGGCACCGGGGACAAGGCAGGATATGATGGGAGCTCCTAGGGTCCAGGGGCTCACAGGGCTGCAGGGAGAAGACAGGGCAGGCTTACAGGGCATGGGGGAGGCCTGGGGTAGGAGGAGCACTGCGGGGGGCGTCCACCAGGAGCCGAGAGGGAGACGGCGCGGCAGGGTTATGGGCTTAGGGGTTGGGCCCCAGCAGGAAGGGGCACAGGGCGGGCACAGGTTGCCAAGGCGGGGCTATAGGGTGACACAGCATGGGGATCTGGTGGGACCGGGGGAGAGTCACGCGGAGTCAGGAGCAGCAGTGACGGCCTGTGAGAGTCATAAGGGCAGAACCTGGGCACATCCACGCCCCTTCCCTTCCTCCCGCTCTGTAAGAGGAGGGATTCACTACCCCATTGGCAGTGGGGAAACTGAGGCTCAGAGAAGCAAAGCCACGCCCTCTTTCCCAAGTCTGGACCAACTGTCCTGGTCCGCCCTTTGCACTGAGTCTGCCACGCTGTGGTCACCAGGAGGGGCACTTGTCACCATGACCTAACAGGGCAGCGACCATGCCTGGAGGGGGCAGCTGCTGGGGAAGAGCTGGGGGCGGGGCCGAGCCACAGGGAAGGAGGTGGTCCTGGGAACGCGGGGGGTGGCAGCTGGGCAGGGGCCACGTGTTCCCACAGTCGAGGACAGCACCTGGGGGGCGGGTCTGAAGCATTTCATTAACCTGGGAGTTTGGGGCCACAGGGCCGCTTGGGGGGTGGGCTAAGTAAGCGGGGTGGTCGCCTCGGAGATCGCGGGGGGAGGGTGGGTCCCGGTTGGGGGCTTCTCCCTGCACGGTCCCGACGGGTGTCTGCGGGACCCTTGTTGTAGCTAAGGTTCAAAGGAGACACACTCGGAAGGAGTTTTAAGGATTTATTCCGGCAGCCGGGACCGCAGCAGCCAATTCGAGCTGCGACCCTGAGCCTGATTTACTTTCCGTTTTATGTCTAGCTGGACGCGATCGGATGATCGCCTGGTTTGCATTCAGCTAATGCAAGCAGGCCTCGTGTACATAAGCTAACTTTGCGGTTAGCACTTGGCGGGGACTTTCCAACTGTCCTTTTCCCTCCCTACTATCCTTGAAATGAACCAAAATAGATGTTTTTACAAAATGGCTTTACTTATGTTCAACCTTGAGCTGGCAACTAGTGACATCCTGTACTGCGCACAGGATGTTTTGCAGGGGCAAGCACAGCTGGCTTACAGAAGCTAAAATATGCGAGTCATAGCAGGATTTAAAACTTTCCAGACAGACATAATTTTAAACAAGCTTTGGGTAAGGGCCTTCATCACACCTGGGTACAAAGGCAGGAAGGGAGGTTACTTGAGGAGGGGTCTTCTTAAAGAAGGAGACTTGCCTATTTTCCACTTATAAAAAAGCTGAGAGCTGGCAGCCTGTGGTTACTTACTTACACACGCACAAGCCTGTGACCACAGAGCTGTAGGGTACAGATATTCAGCAGCTTGCACTGGAACAAGATGGGCTAATGATGTTACCTGTAACACCCTCACGCCCCCGCCACCCGCAGATCTTCCACATGACCTACGACCTGGCCAGCGCGGTCATGCGCATCTGCAACCTCATCAGCATGATGCTCCTGCTGTGCCACTGGGATGGCTGCCTGCAGTTCCTGGTGCCCATGCTGCAGGACTTCCCGCGCAACTGCTGGGTCTCCATCAACGGCATGGTGGTGAGCACCGCTCCACCTCACAGACGGGAAACTGAGGCCCCGAGAGCGACCCAGCGCCCCTGCTCTGAGCACACAAGGCCTGAAGTCTCCCCGTTAGTGCCCCCCTGGGTTGCTGACAGCCACTTCAGACCCGGGGACCATTCAGAGGCAACTGAGTGCAGCTGGGATGACTTTTCTTACTCAGAGATCTGCTTAGTGATTTTTTCCCCCAAGTCCCCTTTGTAATTTGCATTTAAAAGAAAAATTTATATTGTAACCCTCAAATAGGAAAGTGGTAGTGTGTGCCATAAGAGACAATAAATGAGTCCCCAGCACCCACGGCTTCCTGGCTGGGTCTTGGGTGCTCATGTCCGGTTAGCACCCCAGAGAGCCTTTCTTCCCATCCAGGATGCCCTGTGGCATGGCCCATGGGTGCCTTTGCCTTGGGATACACATGGGACTTGGGATGTTTTTGGTTAGGACACAGAGCAGGTGGGCATTGATGGGGTCAGGAGCTACAGGAAAACCCGCAGGCACCCCTCCCCGGCGCCTGGCACGGCTGCCTGGGCTGAGGCAGCCCATTGTCTGGCTGTCACCCGCGCATGTGGTGCCGTTTCCTGAATGGGGCCCCGCTGCCCCCCTTCCCCAGCCTGGTCAACTGAGGACTCAAGGAGGGGAGGGACCTCCTGGCTGTCTGGTGCCTCCACCTTCCCTGCCGCATGGTTCTGACTCCTTGGAACTTTCATGGCCTCTTGGCCTGGCAGACACTCATCAGAGGCTGCAAAGGGGTGGGGGCCAGACTCTGGTCCCTCTGGGCCTCAGTTTCCCCAGGAGGGAAGTGGGAAGGCAGCATCAGACCTGTCCCGGAATGTGTGTAAATCAAGTCCTCTGCCCAAGCCCCCCTTGCTCTTGGTTGCCTCTGAACACAGGGAGCTCACCACCTACAGTGTCAGGGAGGATGGGTCAGGGGGGTCCTGGGGTTCACGGGCCCCCTGGGGCTGTGAGCGCCTGCCCATGCCCCCTGTGGCCTTGCAGAACCACTCGTGGAGCGAGCTGTACTCCTTCGCGCTCTTCAAGGCCATGAGTCACATGCTGTGCATCGGATACGGGCGGCAGGCGCCCGAGAGCATGACCGACATCTGGCTGACCATGCTCAGCATGATCGTGGGCGCCACCTGCTATGCCATGTTCATTGGCCACGCCACCGCCCTCATCCAGTCACTGGACTCTTCGCGGCGCCAGTACCAGGAGAAGGTCTGAGGGGGGAGGCAGGCCCTGCCCCAGGGTCTGAGGAGGGAGGCACATCTGACCTTCCCCCGTCTGTGTGGTGTGCTCAGGGCAGAGGCAGAGGGTGGCACCCAGGTGTAGGGCCAGAGGGGAGTGTGGTGGGGGGTGGGACCCCAGGGGAACCTGAGGCTGTGATTCGGAGGGGACAGGATATCAGAGCACGGCAGGGCCAGTCAAGGGTGTTGGGAAGCTCCCTGGGGTTGGGAGGGGTGCAGGAGACTCCAGAGGGAGAACAGGAGGGTCTGGGCCCACGCAGGGGTCTCTGGGCTGGTTTGGGAAGGAGCCGCAGAGTCTGTACTATGGGCCGGCTCTGGCGGGGAGCTGCAAGCCCTGCCGGCAGTGGCCGCCGGGTCGGCCGGGTCAGCTGGGCTCTGTGCCAGGCGGCCCGGCTGTCCGGAAGCTGCGGGACTCGCACCCAAACATGAGCTGGTGCCGCCACCCGCCTGCCGTCACGGGTTCTGCTGAGCTCAGGACAGCTGCGGCCAGGCGGGGTTGGGCAGAAATGGGACTGGAGCACCCCAGGGGGCGCTGTCCTGGGGACAGCGGTGCCTGGCACCCACAACCCCTGCCCTGCTCAGGAGGGGCCAACCAGGTGGTTTCTAGAAAGATCATCGGGAGAGGAGCCAGGGCCACCCACAGGGTCATGGGGCTCTGGGCCAGGAGTACTTGGGGGGTTCAGTCCAGCCTCCCCAAAGAGCACCTCCCCTTATAAAGTCAAGCTGGTCACCCATTTCTCAGAGGTAGGGTGACCAGATAAAATTCAGGATGCTTAGTTAAATTTAAGTTTCAGACAGGGCTGGCCAGTTAGCTCGGTTGTTTAGAGCACGGTGTTATAACGCCAAGCACCAAGGTCCAGGGTTAGGATCCCTATACCCACCCCCCCCAAAAGGTGAAATTTCAGAAAAACAACAAATACGTTTCCTTAATATATCCCAAATGTTGCATGGGGATATACTTATAACAACCATTTTCATTGCTTTCCTGATATTCAACTTTAACTGGGCATCTTGAATTTTATCTGGCCACCCTACCCCTGAGGACTAATTGAATATTATTTAGAATAGTAATTAAGAATTAATTTAGTTAACTAATTATTTAAGTTAAATTAGGATTTAAATATAAACATTATATTTGCAGATCAGTCTGACAGCCCCGTTCCGTTCGGGCTGAGTGTGGGGTGGGAGGGTGCCCGGCTTGTCCCCTGGGTGGCACTGAGCCCGGCCCCTGCCCTGCCCGGTCACAGTACAAGCAGGTGGAGCAGTACATGTCCTTCCACAAGCTGCCCGCCGACTTCCGCCAGAAGATCCACGACTACTACGAGCACCGCTACCAGGGCAAGATGTTCGACGAGGACAGCATTCTGGGCGAGCTCAACGGGCCCCTGCGGGAGGTGAGGCGGGCACAGGGTGGGACGCGGGTGCCGCTCTCTCCCCGGCCGCCAGGCTCTGGGTCCTGCAAGGGGACGTAGCTGGCCCGGCGGAGCACGGAGGATGCATGCTAGACTGGCACACACCCTTCCCTCCCCAGACACCCCCCTCTGCATCCCTCGGGACACCCCAGACCCCACCTGCCTGCTCTAACTTAGGCCGTTAGCTGACCTGCTGGGTCTGTGCTAGACAGAGGAAGGAGGCAGAGGCGGGACAGGCCGGAGTGGGAGTGAGCCCCTCCTGTCCCAGCCCAGGGCAGGCCATCCAGCCCTGCTGGGCCCAGGTGCTGGGAGCAGTTCGCGGCTGACTGGCTGGCTTGAACCCTAGCTCTGCCCTTGAAGCCTGTCGTAACAGACACCCCCAAGCCGAGTGTCTAGCACAGCAGCAATGTATCCTCTCAGTTCTGGAGGCCAGTTCTGTGGCAGGACCACGCTCCCTCCAACACTCCAGGGGAGGATCCTTCCTTTCTCTTCCAACTTCTGGGGCTCCAGGCATGCCTTGGCTCATGGCTGCGTCCCTCCACTCTCTGCCTCTGTCCCTCCGTGTGTCTCTATGTCTCTCTTCTTATACAGACACCGGTGCCCACCCTCCTCCAGTATGACCTCATCTCAACTGGGTTACTTCTGCAAAGATCCTGTTTCCAAATAAGGTCCTGTTCCTAGGTGCCAGAGGGTCAGGATTTCAACATATCTTTTTGGGGGATGCAGCTGAACCCACAACAGTCACCAAGCAGTTATTGAGCACTGACTGTGTGCCTTGCCCTGTGCAGGGTGCATGGTGGTCCCCACTGCCAGGAAGTGGGGCCGAGGGACGATGGATGGTGATCAGTAAGGAGCTCCGGGGAAGGCGTCTGAACCAGGAGCACAGGAGTCCCGCAGGGTGTCCCAGGGGTTGGGGCAGAGGCCCTGAGGAGGGACTGATGGCACGGGCCTGGGGAGGCTGGGGCCTGACGCTCAGGGCCTCAGGGGCCTCGGGGGCGCTGGGGCTTCTCTGGGGGGCCGCTTCACACACGTTGCCTCCCAGGAAACAGGCACCATGGTTAACTCCATAGAAAATGTTAATTGTATTCGATGGTTAGTTATTATTCCACTCATTCATTCACAGAGGTGCAAGTCACAGACCACAGCATGCATACACCCAGTGGTTTCTAGTACACTCACAGCACTGTGCAACCACCACCAATGTCTAATTCCAGAACATTCTCCTCACCCCAAAAGGAAGCCCAGGCCAGTAGCCATCCGTGCCCATTCCCCCATCCCCAGCCCCTGGCAACCTGTATTTGATAATTATGTTGACATTTACACAGTTCCAAAGTCGAATCTGCAAAACCACATATATTCACGGCTTTTGTCCACATGCTGAACTCCCAGCGGGGGCGCTGATGGACGGCATGCATGTCTGGACTCTGCTGGGTAGTGTCCAGATTCCCTCCGAGGGCCGGCTCTGTTCTGTGCGCTCAGCAGTAGCAAGAGGGCCACCTGTTCCCTTCTCGCTTGGGAATGCTCCCAAACAGATACATACATGAGAGATGGCAGCTGTCATGTGGTTCTCCCTTATTTTGAGCGAGGTTCAGCATCTTTTCATGTGATCAGGGGCTGTTTAATTTGCATTTTGCTTTTGTGTCTGTCCATAACTTTTGCTTGTTTCTCTACAGGGCTTTGTCTTTTTCTGTTTTTAGAAATTCTTTATATATGAGGACATTGGCCCTTTGTGATACAAATAATTCCATCCAGATGGCCATTTATCTTTTAACTTTGTGGTATTTTTGCTTTGCAGGTGTTTTATGCTGCATACAGCAGGTGCTTCGTGTATGCTTGATGTACACAGTAGGTGCTGAATAAATGCTTGTTTTATACAGATGATGCACCTGTGTGCTTCCTGTACAGACTCAGTGTACAATACCCACGTTCTGTACATGGCAAGTACTTTCTATGTGCCTGCTGTATACTGTAGGTGCTCAATACCTACTTGTGTACAAGAGGTGGGCGATGAGTGCTTGGTGTATATACTAGATGTTCAATACCTACTTTCTGTACATAGCAGATGCTCCATATGCTTTTTGTATACAGTAGGTGCTTAGCACCTGATTGACATACAGAGTAGCTTTTTAATACCTGCTTTCTGTATACAACAGGCACTCAATCCATACTTGCTGTACAGTGTCGGCTCCTGAGAGCTGCATGACACATGCTTGCTGTACACACCCAGGTTCTACAGGAATTCACTCACGTCTTCTAGTATTTGTTCTGTTTTTGACATTTAGGTCCCTGCGCCTTTGGAATCTGTCTCGGTGTATGGTGTGAGGAAAGGTTCATCAGCTGTATGTCTGAACGTCCCTCTCTGCCCCACGACTTGAGAGCTTTCACCTGATACTTTCTACAGTGGCTTAGTATGGGGGAGAGCTAGTTCCACTTCCCTGCTCCTCTCCTTTTTCATGGGTTTCCTACTGCTTTTTGCTCATCTTTTCTTCAGTTATTAAAAAAGCAAACTTGATGGTATTTCCACTGGGATCATGTTAAGCATGCAGCTGAATAGTGCAGACAGACATCTTTACAATGGTGATGTGTTCTAAGAACACGGTGTGTTCAAGCTGCCTTCTGTGCCTTTCAGGAGTGTTTCTGAGTTTTCTTCATTTAGGTTTGGACAGTTCTTGTTAAGTTCATGCTGAGCCATTTTATTTAGCTCTTTATGCTGGGGTGAATGGTGTATTCACCTCCATTTTATCTTCTTCTAAGTGGTTTCTGTTTGTATATGCAAAGGCTTTCTTTTTACTGAAACTCACCTTACAGAAAAGTGCCCACGTCATAAGGGCACAGCTCCATAGATGTTCTATAAAGTGAACACTAGCCACTGCCAGATCAAATATGGAATGTTTCCACCCCCAGAAGCTTCCCACCATCAATTCATTTTAAGGTCCTTGGTTTTTATGTTGGTTTTTTGTCACCTGCTATTTTAACTAAGTTCCCTTATGTTGTAGTTTTGCATTGATTCTTTTGGGTTTTCCAGGTAGTCATACTTTCTGCAGAGATAAATTTTAGTTTTTTCTTTCCAATTCATATGTCTCTGTTTTTTCTTATCTAATTGCATTGGCCAGTATTGCCAGTACAGCATTAAATAGTCGGGAATCAGGGAGCATCTTTTCTCACTCCTGTCTTTGGTGACAAAATCTCCAGTGTTTGCTTATTAAGTAAGATGCTGGCTATCAGGCTGCAGTGTTAAACCCATCTCACAGATGAGAACACTGAGGGTCTGAGAGATGAAACCATCCCAGAAACAGGGGGAGACAGAAACCAGAGTGTACACTGATGCCACCCCTGCGTCCTGCCCTACAGGAGATTGTCAACTTCAACTGCCGGAAGTTGGTGGCCTCAATGCCATTGTTTGCCAATGCTGACCCCAACTTTGTCACAGCCATGCTGACCAAGCTCAAGTTCGAGGTCTTCCAGCCAGGTGACTACATCATCCGTGAGGGCACCATCGGCAAGAAGATGTACTTTATCCAGCACGGTGTGGTCAGCGTGCTCACCAAGGGCAACAAGGAGATGAAGCTGTCTGATGGCTCCTACTTCGGGGGTGAGCATCTGCGGGGGGCAGGGGCTGGGTGACAGAGCCGGGCCCCTCCTGTGAACCTGGGGGTGAGGGTAGGGACAGCCTCAGGCTCATGTGGGGTACAAATGTGGCTGGTGTGGGTGTCAGGAAGAGCCTCTGGGAGGAAGGGGAGCACTGGCAAAGGTGTGGGGGCTGGACTGTGCTTGGGAGGCTGGGGTGGACATGAGGCAGCCAGGTGTCATCCAACCACTGAGGGAGCCTCCCTTGGCCACATGCAGAGATATGCCTGCTCACACGGGGCCGGCGCACGGCAAGCGTGCGGGCTGACACCTACTGCCGCCTATACTCGCTGAGCGTAGACAACTTCAATGAGGTACTGGAGGAGTACCCCATGATGCGGCGCGCCTTTGAGACCGTGGCCATTGACCGCCTGGACCGCATCGGTGAGCGACCTAACCCTGGCAGGAGGGAGCCCGGGTGAGATGGAAGGGGTGTGGCCAGTGGACCCGCTCTGGCCACACATGGCCAGGCTTCCCAAGGAAGAGGAAGGGCGGGTGATTCAGTCATGTGTGGTTTCTGCCAAGTGTGTGTGGAGCACCTACAGTGTGCTGGGGTGCAGATGTGGACCATGAGGCTGACTCAGGAGCTTATGGTCTGCTCGTCAGATCATGCACAGCCAGGCTGTGCACAGTACAGGAGACATGCGGGTGGTGGGGGCTTCCCTGAGGAGGGGGCGTAGAGGGGGACCAGAATGAGTAAGCACTGCCAGATAGAGAGGGAAGAAGGGTCTTCCTGGAGTTGACAGGGCAGGTGCAAAGGCCCTGAGGTGAGGAGGAGACCTGGAGTAAGTACAAAGAGCCAGAGACGCCTGGGAGGAGAGAGGTGAGGGAGGCAGGCAGGGGCCAGACGCACAGGCCCAGTGGGCTGCACGGGGAGTTTAGACTGAAAATCAGAAGCATTGGGGAGCCATGGAGGATTGGGGGGGTGGTCAGGGGAAGATTGGGGTGTGGCTTCGGGAATGGGGAGAGGTGGATGCCTCCAGGCTTGCTGGTGATGTGACTAGGGGTCAAGGAGACAGTGGCCCTTATGCTGTTTGTGGGTAGGAAGAAAATGGCTGGAAAAGCTGGACTGGTGGGGAGGGGAGGTGTTAGAGGGCTTCATGGAACACAGAAAGCACTCAGCACATTGTATGTGACAGACATTCAGCAATTTGCTCTGTACAGTAGGTGAATGGCAGCTGCTTAGATACAGTTGTTCTATACTGTAGGCACTCAACACAGGCTTGCCGTATGGTAGGCACTCAGCACTCTGGCTGTGTACAGGCAGGCGCACTCAATCCATACTTGCTGTACAGTGTCGGCTCCTGAGAGCTGCATGACACATGCTTGCTGTACACACCCAGGTTCTACAGGAATTCACTCACGTCTTCTAGTATTTGTTCTGTTTTTGACATTTAGGTCCCTGCGCCTTTGGAATCTGTCTCGGTGTATGGTGTGAGGAAAGGTTCATCGGCTGTATGTCTGAACGTCCCTCTCTGCCCCACGACTTGAGAGCTTTCACCTGATACTTTCTACAGTGGCTTAGTATGGGGGAGAGCTAGTTCCACTTCCCTGCTCCTCTCCTTTTTCATGGGTTTCCTACTGCTTTTTGCTCATCTTTTCTTCAGTTATTAAAAAAGCAAACTTGATGGTATTTCCACTGGGATCATGTTAAGCATGCAGCTGAATAGTGCAGACAGACATCTTTACAATGGTGATGTGTTCTAAGAACACGGTGTGTTCAAGCTGCCTTCTGTGCCTTTCAGGAGTGTTTCTGAGTTTTCTTCATTTAGGTTTGGACAGTTCTTGTTAAGTTCATGCTGAGCCATTTTATTTAGCTCTTTATGCTGGGGTGAATGGTGTATTCACCTCCATTTTATCTTCTTCTAAGTGGTTTCTGTTTGTATATGCAAAGGCTTTCTTTTTACTGAAACTCACCTTACAGAAAAGTGCCCACGTCATAAGGGCACAGCTCCATAGATGTTCTATAAAGTGAACACTAGCCACTGCCAGATCAAATATGGAATGTTTCCACCCCCAGAAGCTTCCCACCATCAATTCATTTTAAGGTCCTTGGTTTTTATGTTGGTTTTTTGTCACCTGCTATTTTAACTAAGTTCCCTTATGTTGTAGTTTTGCATTGATTCTTTTGGGTTTTCCAGGTAGTCATACTTTCTGCAGAGATAAATTTTAGTTTTTTCTTTCCAATTCATATGTCTCTGTTTTTTCTTATCTAATTGCATTGGCCAGTATTGCCAGTACAGCATTAAATAGTCGGGAATCAGGGAGCATCTTTTCTCACTCCTGTCTTTGGTGACAAAATCTCCAGTGTTTGCTTATTAAGTAAGATGCTGGCTATCAGGCTGCAGTGTTAAACCCATCTCACAGATGAGAACACTGAGGGTCTGAGAGATGAAACCATCCCAGAAACAGGGGGAGACAGAAACCAGAGTGTACACTGATGCCACCCCTGCGTCCTGCCCTACAGGAGATTGTCAACTTCAACTGCCGGAAGTTGGTGGCCTCAATGCCATTGTTTGCCAATGCTGACCCCAACTTTGTCACAGCCATGCTGACCAAGCTCAAGTTCGAGGTCTTCCAGCCAGGTGACTACATCATCCGTGAGGGCACCATCGGCATGCCGCCACTGGGCCAGGGGTGTCTAGCTGGTCTCTAGGCTGGAGAATGGGGGTGGGGGGAGGCACCTGGTTCATGACAGGCACGTCTGCTGCGTGGGTCCAGAAACAGTCGTGGACTGAGACAAAGGTCAGGCCCTTCCTGAAGCAGGGAGAGGGGCTCCTGTGAGGAGGAGGTCCCTCGTGGGGCCACTCACCCCACAACCTAGAACCCACCTCCTGTCAATGTGACGATGCCCCTGCTGGCTCCTCCATGGGGCTCATGGTCCAGGAAAGCCCCTCCTCTGTGTCCCACCCGCAAGCCCCCATCCCTTGCAGTGTCACCTAGGAGGCTACACCCCACACTCCCTAGCAATCGTCTGCTCCCCATGTCCTCCAGCAGCAGAAAGGGTCTTGGGAGAACACATCATCCCCCCTACCATCCCCCAAACCGCTCCTGGAAGTCTTGTTCCCTCTGGAGAGGGCCATAGCCCCGTCTGCAGATGCTTTGTGCAGGGCTGTCCATGCATCTCCGGCTCTGGCCCCTACCCCATCAGCCGTTCTTTGAGGAGCCCAGGACAGAAACCCAGATGCCCCCACCGGACCCCCCATGCCTGTGGATCCTGCCAGGACAAAGTCCACCTGCCCCAGGACGGACCACTCCTCACTGCCGCACCTGGTGTCGCTCACCTGGAAGGAGCAGAGTCTGAACCACTCCATCCACAAGGCCACAAAGACCTTGTCATGCAGGAACCTTGAAGGACCACTTACGTGTTCAGAGTGACCCACCCCTGCCTGGCAGGGCCAGTAGCCCCTGCCTAGAACCTCACTGCCACAGGGCTTTCCTCAGAGCCAGCCCAACAGACCCCACAGCCAGAGTCCTCACCTGTGGCTCTGACCTTGTCCCTCACGGGCCCAGTGTCCACTGCTGGAGTGGGCCTTACCATGTGCCTCTGTGTCCCCTGTGACCAGAATGGGACTGGCACGCAGCAGGCAGTTAAAACGGGAGCGCGGGGCCGGTGGCGGGGCGCACGCACCTGTAGCAGTGCAGAGCCGTGAGCATCATGTGGGAGGAGTCCAGCGAGTGGATGAAGTTGGGGGGGAAGCCGTTCTTCTGCTTCAGCGTGTTGGGCTTCCTGGGGACGGCAGGGACGGGGTGCTGAGTGGGGGCTGGGTGCACCCCCTTGGGTTCCCCCCCAGCTGGGGTCCCGCTCACTGGCTGCTGTCCTTGCTGCTGCTGCAGGTGAGGCTCTGGATTCCACCTTTGACCTGCAGGGCGGGCAGAGGGGGCTAGCGAGTCCTGGACGAAGCCCAGCCCAGAGGGGACAGAGACGGGGCGGGGGGTCCTCGTACCACAAACTTGGAGTCCTGGTGGTAGGGCTGGATGACCGGGATGCCCAGGGGCGTGACCCACTCCACTGCTGAGCCCACATGGGAGATGAGGCGGGCGCTCTCCGTCAGCCAGTTCTGCAGGACAGGCCAGCTCAGTTGGAGCCTCAGTCTGTCCTCTCAGGGGCCATGGCCCTGACTTGGGGGCAGACGGGGAGGCAGGGTGGAAGGACAGGGACGCACCTGGATGGCCCGGGTGCTCGAAAACATCTCCTGGAGGCTGTTGAATACCTGGCGCACGAGGTAGTGGGAGGCCTCCCACACATACTCCTAGGGGAGGGGTTGCGGTGGGTGGGGGCACCACTCCCCCCATAGCTGACCCTGCTCACCCCACCCCAATGTTCCAGATGGAGAAGCTGAGGCCTGGGGTTGGCCCAACACTTGGGTGGTGATGGCGGGGAAATGAGGCCTAGCACCAGAGGGCGGCCAGTTATGCAGGAGGAGCCCAAAGGCTGGATTCAGGATAAAACCATCTGGTTTTCAAGCAGCACTGAAATGAAAGTGTGTCCCAATGCCACGGGGACGCACCTGTGGGAAGTCACTGAGCTCCCTGAGGCGCTTTTCGATCTGCAGGCGCCCGCCGTAGCGGGTGACCCCGTACACCACGGTCATCACTGTCTGCTTGACCACCTTGCGGCTGACGAAGCCTTCAAGCACCTGGGCCACCCGCTGGCCCTGCTCGGCATCCTGCCTGCGGAATATCTCCACCTGTGCCGGGGCAGGCGGTCAGCACCAAGCGGGACTGCCAGGGACGGCTGAGCTCCCGGACAGCCCAGTGGCTGGCGTCTGCCCAGGGAGCCCCCAACTGCCCAGTGTCACCCACCGCCCAAGACCGCGGGTCAGAGTGGGCTGCAGTGCCCACCTGTGCAGCCACCCCACTGTACACGTCCTGCGGCAGGTCTGAGGGCATGAGGTTGACGGAAGCAGCGCCCACGCTGTCACGGCCCAGGGCGGCGTAGTGCTGGAGCCCATTACAGGAGCCGTCCTGGGGTGGGCGGGAGGAGGGTGAGACAGCCACCACAGCTCCAGCTTCCCCAGTGCCCTGCTGATGCCACGAGCTCACCGGACCCCAATTCTGAGACAGATGCTGTTTCCCCACCATAAAGGGGAAACTGAGGCTCAGAGAGGCAGGGATGTATGGGGCCCTCAATGGCCCCCAGGCCAAGCTATCTATACAGCTGCACACCCCACAGCCCAGGTGCAAGGGCCAGCCATACCTTGGCCCTGTGCCCTCCCTGGAGAGAGGCGGGGGACATGCCTGCCCTAGGCCATGGAGCAAAGCCAGCTGGACCCGCTGGGGCCAACCCCGAAAGACACCTATGTCTTAAAGTGAAAGCCCAGACAGCAAACATCAGGAACCCAACACCCAAAACCCAGGCCTGCTTGGCACAGCACCCCAGGCGAGGCCTGCACACAGCGCCGCTGACTCACCTGGTGCACAGGCAAGTGGGAGACATAGGCAGCAGGGTCAGGGGTGCGCACAGCCCCTGCGATCTCCATGCAGCAGGCCAGCGCTTGCCAGGGCTCCTCCGCCTCCATCCACCACTTCCGGCCCTACAGCATGCAGGCGGGCTCCAGGTGAGGCCCAGACCCCGTGGTCCCGGAGCCTGTGGGGTGGGACTCAGGGGCAGGCCGTGGGGATACAGGGAGGGTGTCT